GTATGTGAATATGAATTAGAAATATATTTTATGTAATGTGTGTACATCATAATGCACATAAAATATAATTCTAAATAAAATATAATTCTAATATTCATTAATGTGTCTATATTATATCTGCATGAAAAGCTAAATATGAATAACTTCTATCTCTCTTTTATGGGCCTTCTGCAATAAGCCATTAGTTACAAATCAGAAGTCAGAAGCTAAAAATTGATCAATCACAGTCAATTTTTAGCGTCTGACTTCTTATTTATGGCTGATTTATGGCTTATAATTGTAAAAGGGTATGTTCATTAAACATAATAAAAAGAGATAGAATAGCTACATACGTATGTGCAATGTATTTACGTACTGGCAATATATGTTACATCCTAAGTTAAAATGGCATTGGGAATAAAGGAAAAAGTGCTATTACATTACACGTGTATACATGTATTTCAAATACATTGCATCCGAAGATATATCTAAGTCAGAGTGTATTTAATAAAAATATACTTATTGTAACTTGCTGCTAGTTAACGTACACATTGACCTATAAGTGTATACTTTTGCTAAAACACTTTGAATATGATATACTTATATACATTTCATAAACGTACAGCATCGTATGAAAATTATGTATGTGACTATTGATTGTGTAATGTATGTTATATATATGTATAGCATATATATATATATATATGTATAACATATATATTATATAGGTTGGAAAAAGACTCCGGATTTAGGAGCGGAACATAAAGGTGACTATAACTATAATCGTAAAAGAATATGAATACTTGTATCGGCATGCATAGTACGCCAAAATATAATGCGTTGCCCTATGACTATGATTCACGTTCTACGATTGAATTACGGCCATTCTCGTGCTATAAGACCATTACATAACGTTTTTCGAAAAAACGTTTCAGACAAAAGTTACAAGGTTTCAAAGAAACTGTTTACTGATATTCAATTTTTTTTTCTTCATTAGTTTCTTTGTTTCGATCATGTTAAGCAATTAGCTTTTGATTCCATCATGACAATGCATCTATTCATATTTCTTTAATTGCAGATGCAAAATTCTACAAATTGGTTCCGTAACTGTATTTCACAAAATTTGATAATCGAATGCCAATAAATTAAAAATAGTTAGTCCACGATGAACGCCTCTGACATTTATCTATAACTAGCCCAGCACGATTTACGGCTGTGGCATTTTGTTATAGCTATCCAGCTCACAATTAACGCCTCTGACAGTAAATTAAATATAGTCAACCCACGATGAACGTCTCTGACATTTGTCTATGACTAGCCAAAGCACGATTTACGGCTGTGGCATTTTGTTATAGCTAGCCAGCTCACGATTGATGCCTCTGGCAGTAAATTAAAAATAGTCAGTCCACGATGAACGCCTCTGACATTGGATCATAATTAGGCAAAGCGCAATTTATTGTTATAACATTTAATCATATCACTTGTATGATAAATAAAAGTTATATTTTCACTAATAATATAAAGATGCCAACCTTTCCCATTCTGGCTTTATAGGGGGCCTTCCAACAAGAAACACACATCACAATAACCAATTTTGGCCTTTTAAAGTGCCTTCCAACAAGAGACACAGTGTGACACCGTGCATCATTACAATCTTGTGCTAATATAAGGATGAAATACTGTATTGTACTTAGTGAGTCGCTTGTTAGAAAGCATCCATAACTTTCTCTTATCAAAGGCAGACAATATTCTGCTACTACATTTTTTCTATTTTATGGAGACAAAACACTATATAAATATATACCGGGTTTCTCAGAGCACCCGTACCACCCTTTTAAAAGGTAGGGATGTGTTTGTACAAAAAAATGATTCAGACAAAATTTGCAGGATTTCGGGAGATCTATCTGATGGTGACCTTGAATTTGACCTTGAGGTCGACCTTGGGCATAACTCAAGGTCAAAGTACCGTTTTACAAATGTAAACCCTTATTCATGACATCACAAATGAAAATAGCGGAAAATTTTACGTCCGAATACGTTATCAAGCCTAGGTCAAAATTACCCTTAGAGGTCATGTGGAGGTAAAGTTACTTTTAGAGCACCCGTACCAACCTTCTAAAAGATATGGATGTGTTTGTACAAAAAATAGTTCAAACAATACTAGGTATTTACATAGCATCCATCTGCTGGTGAATTTGAATTCTACCTTTAGATTCATTTGTAGTCGTGTACATCGATTTTTAAAGATTCCTAATTATCAAGATCTTGAACAGTCGATGCCGCCTGTGTCAGCGTTACCCAAGATGTACCACGTGGAGGTCACAAGGTCGGACTTACACCTCGTCGGGGTGCTTTTTTAAGGTGGTTCCCCTTGCCGTCACCTTTGTTCGTACGCATGTGTTCAGTCTAGATTTTCGAAGTGTCCTCCACGTGCATGTATGCAGGCTGTTATTCTTCGTTGAAAATCATCCGTCACCCGACGAATTTCGACAGGATCTAGAGACTGAATGGCTTCTCGAATTCTGTTCTTCATGTCTTCTGAAGTCGTAGGTCGTTCGCGGTATACGAGGTCTTTTATTCTTCCCCACAAATAAAAATCCAAAATGGTAAGATCCGGTGATCGTGGTGGCCAGTTATGTGGACCATATTTACCTATCCATTGGCCGCGAAATATGCGGTTCAGTTGTTGACGAGCA